GGCACTTAACAACAACAACAACATTTAAGTCTTTGATCCATCTAGAGTTAGTCTTGTGTATGGTATGAAGTACAGATCCTGCTTCATTTTTCTGCAAATGGATATCCAGTTTTGCCAGCACTGTTTGTCAGACAATCTCTTCCTCATTTAATGGATTTCAGTCCTTTGTCAAAGATCAGCTGACCATAGGTCGATGGATCTATTTCTGGATTCTCAATTCTCTTCCACAGGTCTATGTGTCCGTCGCTGTACCAATACCAGACTGTTTTGACTATTGTGGCTGTATAGCAGGTTTTAGAAAACCTGCAGTGTGGGACATCCTACTTTGTTGTTCTTCAATAGTGCTTTCCTTATCTCAGATCGCTTCTCTTTCCATATAGAATTTGTGATTGGCTTTTGCATATCCTTAAAGAATGTTGATAGGGTCTGGATTGAGATTGCATTGAATGTATAGATTGCTTTGGGTAGTATTGACATTTTCACAATGTTCAATCTTCCTATCCATGAGCATGGTACATTCTTCCATTTATGTAGATCTCTTATGGTTTCTTGAAGTAGTGTTTTATAGTTTTCTTTGTACAGGTCTTTTGTGTTACTGGTAAGATTTATTCCTCAATATTTTATATTTTTGGTAGCTATTGTAAATTGTAATGATTTCCTTATTTCTTTATCAGCAATCTCTTTGCTGGTATAGGAGCTCTGGTGGGGGTTCAAACCCACCAGCTACTCCTCGGAAGGAAGGTTGGGCAATCTACTTCCATAGTGATACTGCCTCAGAAACCGAAGGAGGGGTTGCTGTAAGTCAGAATCAACTCAACAGCAGTGAGTGTGGGTTTTTTGTTTGTTTATTTTTGCTGGTATAAAAGAATCCAACTCATTTTTTATGTTGATCTTGTATCCTGCCACTATGCTAAATCTCTCAGTTAGTTCCGGTGGTTTTCTTGCTGAGTCTCTTGGGTTTTCTAGGTATAGGATTATATCATTAGCAAATAGGAATAGTTTGACTTCTTCCTTACCAATTTGGATGTCTTTAATTTCCCTTCTTGCCTTATTGCCCTGGCTAGGAGTTCCAATACAGTGTTGAATAGAAGTGGTGATAGAGGGCATCCTTGTCTGGTTCCTGTTTGTAAGGGGAAGGTTTCAGTCTCTCTCCAGAAATGGTGATAGAGGGCATCCTTGTCTGGTTCCAGTTTGTAAGGGGAATGGTTTCAGTCTCTCTCCACTGAGAATAATGTTGGCTGTTGGTTTGTATATATGCCCTTTATTATGTTGAGGAATTTCCCTTCTATTCCTATATTTCTGAGAGTTTGTTTTTTATCAGGAATGGGTGTTGAATTTTATCAAATGCTTTTTCTGCATCAATTGATATATGATCATGTGGTTCTTTTTCTTTATTTTACTTATGTGATGGATTCTGTTTATTGTTGTTCTAATGTTGAACCATCCTTGCATAGCTGGAGTGAACCCCGCTTGCTCATAAGATATTATTTTTCTGATACATTGTTGGAGTCTGTTGGCTAGGATTTTGTTAAAGAGTTTTTCATCTGTATTCACAAGGGATATTGGTCTGTAGTTTTCTTTTTCAGTAATGTCTTTGCCTGGTTTTGGTCTTGAGGTTATGCTTGCTTCATAAAATGAATTTGGGAAGATTCTATCCTGTTCTAGAATAGTTAGAGTAGGATTGGTATCAGTTCTTCTCTGAATGTTTAGTAAAATTCTCCAGTGAAACTCTCTTTTTTTTAATACTGACTTTTGGAAAAGATAATATCAATGCTTGTTATATGCAAAATACGTTTTCTACCAACAGTGATGCAGTTTGGCAAAGGGAAGTCGTGTTGTTACCGGTTTCTGACCAAAGGTCAGCAGTGGATATGGCTGCAGACCCACTACTACATCACCTACCATCAGTGGAACTCCAAGCCCGAGTTCATCGTGTGCACACATTCGGTGGTCAGGTACAGGCTGGCTGGGGGTGGGCTGTGGTCTGCCAGCACTCTGGGGGTGGGTGTGCAAGGCCCCTAGTGACTCTGTCATTTCAGCAGCCCCAGCAAGTAGTCCCACCTTTTGAGGCCAACCCCCAGCATAGTATCTTGGACGGTTTAGACAGAGGTGTGCCTGGGTGTCACTTAAGCAGGGGGAGGGGGACAGTGAGCAGTTTCTATGCACCAGGGCAGTTTTCATCACCAGCTATGAGATCACTCAGCAAGTTAAAACTAATTGCCATAGGTGTTATTTTCTGTAGATTTGCCTGTGACCCTCAGGTTTGAATTCTTCAGTGTGGCTCAGGCTGTCTGCTCCAGGTAACAGAATAATTACTGGAGCTCAGCTCCCTTTCAGGTACACACCCAGCTCTGTTCTCCCAGGGCTAAGAATTCTTTTGAGTTTTAAATCAGGCCTCTTTGAGAACCTCTTCAACTCTTCCAGGCTGCCAGGATATTACTTAGTAAGTTACTGCTTCACTGACCTACTTACATATTTTTCCTTTCCTGGAACCATCCACCAGCCTTCTCTATCCCTGTTTTGAGAAGAAAATTAAAAATTTGCCTCTAAATAACTCAAACACATAATCCCCTTTATTTTTAATGCTTTACAAAACCCCACTGGCACCTGAGGCAAGTATTAGGAAAGCAGCCTGACTGGCAGAGGGTTCCTGGTGGCCTCAGGGTCTGGGAGAGGGATCCAGAGGTAGCAGCATATCCCAGCATTTCATCTGTTCGTCCTAGTCAGGTCATGGCTCCCAAAGGCAGCAGAGAAAGAAATGCTGTTCTTCTGTTTTTTCTCTGGGGTGCAGAAATTTTAAGAACATAAGTCAGTTTTAACTGGTTTAGATATATAGGGTCACTGTGAGTTGGAATCAACAAAGGGCACAGAACAACACTGAGAAGCGAAGTGAATTTGAGAATAGCAAAGAAAGTTAGAAGGACTGTATTTTATGCATTTAGATTCTACACACACACACACACACACACAGAGGACACTGGTAGTTCAGTGGGAGAATTCTTACCTTCCATGCAGAAGACCCTGGTTTGATTCCCATCCAGTGCACCTTAAGTGCAGCCACCCCGTCTGCCAGTGGAAGCCTGTGCGCTAGAATGATTGTATGATGCTGGCAGGGCTTCCAGGCTACAATGGACTAGGGAGAAAGGGCTGAAGATCTCCTGAAAATCAGTCCATGAAAACTGTATGGATAATAACAGTGCAGCTCTGTTGTGTATGAGTTATCACGAGTTGAGGGCCAACTCGACGGCAGGTAACAATAATACACACACACACATGGTCAATGAAAAGTCACTATTCTTTAGTAAATGGAGAGAGAAGAGAGATGCTTATTTTTCTTGGCCAGTGCCCCAGTCAGTCCACATTTTGTGCCTGCTTTCAGGGCCTTGATCTTCAGTTCCCAGCCCACCCTCTTGTACTCCAGCAGCCAGTGCTTTCTGATCCCATGGCCAGGCCCACCCACTGCTGCCCCAGCCCAGCCTTTGGCCAGGGAGTCCTTTAGCCCCCCCCAGGAAGGCTAGGCCTTATCAACACCTTGTTCTTCAGTCTCTACCCTTGACCCTGCTCTTCCTTTCAATTCTCCGCTTCCTAAATCCTAGAAAGAAAATAGGGAGGTAACTGAGTAAATAAAGAAACAAGCCTTCTGGAGGCCCAAGGGTCTATGTCGCTCTCCAAGGCCACACCCGTGGCCTGCATCTCCACAAAGGAGGCAGAAGGCCTGAGGTCACATCTGCCAACACCAGATGAATTGATTGACACAGGCTATTTTGAAAATGGATCTGTATTGGAAGAAAAGCCTGGCAATCTACTTCTGAAAATGCAGCCATTGATAACACTGTGGAGCACAGTTCTACCGGGATACACACGGCATTGCCATGAGTGGGAGTCAACCAGTGGCAACAACAACAAAGACACTGATAATACATGGGGTCTGGATTCAGCTCAGACTTTTGTTGTTGTTGTTGTTGTTATTGTTGTTAGGTGCCATTGAGTTAGCTCTGACTCATAGCGACCCTGTGCACAACAGAATGAAACACTGCCTGGTCCTGTGCCAGCCTCACAATCCTTGCTATACCTGAGCCCATCATTGCAGCCACTGTGTCAATCCATCTCATTAAGGGTCTTCCCCTTTTTCCTTGACCCTCCACTTTACCAAGCATGATATCCTTCTCCAGGGAACGGTTCCTTCTGACAACATGACCAAAGTAGGTGAAATGAAGTCTGGCCATTCTAGCTTCCAAGGAGCATTCTGGCTGCACTTCTTCCAGGACAGATCTATTAGTTCTTCTGGCTAACATGAAACTAAAACACTGGAAATAGATTTCATTCTTAGCTGCTTTAATAATGTCAAAAATTTGTTTTCATATTCTTACCTTAACATGTTGAGAAGATAGTTCAACACAAAGCCTGGCATAGTTGTCTATTTTGTATTTACCTTTTGTCAGTAAAGATAGAAATTGGAGAATACTTAATTTTTTTTGTATTTTGTAGCCTTTTCTCAAATATTTGGTAGAAGAGTGGGTGATAGGACTAGCAGGAGCCTGGGTTAGCTTCTGTGAGTTTATGTTAGAAAATGTCATGATCCTTTAGCAACAAAAAGCCCCCTAACCTTTATGGGCCTCAGTTACATCCTCTTTGAGATCTAAATTTATTCTTGATTTTAGGGAGCAGTCTATTTTAGCCAGAATCATGTCTTATTTCTGTTTCATTTTGAAATAAAGGTAATATCTGGATTTTTACTCTAAAAAAATAAAAACTAAAAGTGGGTCTGTAGACTAATCAGCAGTCTGGTGCTGGCTTGTTCTAGGTTTATTTGAGAAAAAACCTTCTGAGGAACTCAATTACTGAAAAAGTTAAGTGCCACTCCTACATAAGTAGCTCTGGTGGCATAATGCCTAAGGCATTTGACTGCTAACCAGAAGGTGTTAGCAGTTCAAACCCACCAGCCACTCTGCGGAAGGAAGACTGGGCAATCTACTTCCATAAAGATTTACCGCCTCGGAAACCCAAAGGGGGCCACTATGAGTTGGAATTGACTTGGTGGCAGTGAGTTAGTGAGTACTCCTACAGAGACACAATTGAGATTGGGCAAGTTTATGAGAAGCTAATTATTTGAAGACTGAAGCTTATCCTATAGACAGAAATATGTTTTCCAAGACAATTATGTTTAGAGGTTTCGGGGGGGGGAGCATAAAGAGGAAGGAGAAATATTTTGAATGTGACATTAGATATCATAGCAGTAGAATTTAGGCATGGCATTAAAAGCATTCCTTCAAGCAAGCAGCAACCCCAGGCTTGGTTGATGATGAGTATTCTGGAAGTGGGTAGGTATTGTGTCTCGGTGTATCTCACAAGGCCAGGTTGGTGTTGTCATCCTGGAACATGCTGCCCTAGCTATCATCTCTTGATTTCAGTTATGCAGACGTCCGGGTGGAAAGGAGGCAGGAGCTGGCTTTGGAAGATCCCCCATCTGAGGCCATCCACCCTTCAGCACTAAAGGTATGCTGCTCCCTGCTATAAGAAGATTCAGGTACTCGTGAGCTGATGGATAAAGGGGGTACTGTCACATTCCTCATTCTTCAGATGAGGACACTGAAGGTCACAGAGAGGTTAGGTAACTTATCCAAGAGTACGTAAGGGTTTAGAGCCTCCAGAGCTGGGTTAGAAACAACCTCTGGACATAAAGCACAATTTGGCTACCTTCCAACCTTAACAAGAATGGCTATGATAAGTCTACTTCATAATTCCCCCGCAGATAGAAAGCTGAGCAGTGATTCCATCATCCATGAAAGTGTGAGATAATTTGTATACCCTTGTCCTTCCAACGGTTAACACACTTGGCTGCTAACCAAATGGTTGGAGCTTCAAGTCTACCCAGAGGCACCTCAGAAGAAAGGCCTGGTGATTGTCTTCCAAAAAGAAGCCACTGAAAATCCTGTGGAGTGCAGTTTGACTCTGACACATGGGGTTGTCTTGAGTCTGAGTTGATTTGATGATAACTGGTAACTGGTCTTCCTTATGCTGTTGTACCCTTCATGACTCAGGTGCCTTATGGGTAGCCTGCCCCTCATAGGGCCTTTGGCCAGAGGTTTGTCATCTGCAATCAAACACAAGCATCTCTGGTCCCTTGAGGACCAAGTTAGGAGGAGGGAGTAATCACCTTTAAAGCTCAGAGAACAGTTTCGCGTCTTTGCAGAGCCTCCCCTGCTGACATACTATCTGGAGATACAATATGTGGTGATTCATCACCAGCACACGGATACAGCACACCTGTCATTGTTTATGGAAGTGCTTATTACCCAGCTCTGTCACATAATACATCATGTAGCATGTCAGAGAGCCAAATTAAGCTGTTAATAAGCAGGTGTTAGACATACCATACATCACTGCTGAAGGACAGGCATAATGTTTATCCTCCCGTTGGAAATTCTTTATTGAAGTTTCTGTCCCTGTGGGAATCCCCTAGCCCTACAGAGCTGCTTCTCATAAAAATACACAGGGCGCCAGATTAAGAGGCATCTTTAAAAGTAAAAGGAGCCCTGGTGGCCCAGTGGTTAAGTGCTTGGCTGCTAACCATAAGGTCAGCATTCAAACCCACCAGCCACTCCATAGGACGAAGATGTGGTAGTCTGCTTCTGTAAAGATTATAGCCTTGGAAAGCCTATGGGGCAGTTCTGCTCTGACCTATAGGGTCCTAGGAGTTAGAATCAACTTGATGGCAGTGAGTTTTGTTCTTTGTTTCAATAAAGCCTCTGTTGTTGTTATTATGTGCCATCAAGTCAGCCCAACTCATAGCGACCCCTCCCTGGGTTTCCGAGGCAGTATCACTACAGAAGTAGATTGCCCAACCTTCGTTCCGAGGAGTGGCTGATGGGTATGAACCACCAGCCATCTGGTTAGCAGTCAAGTACCTTAGGCACTACGCTACCAGAGCTCCTAATAAAGCCTCTAGAACAGTCCTTTTCAAACTCTCTGTGATATAGATCCATTTCTTTTTTTTCTTTTTTTTTTTATTTCAAACCTGTCATTGACTGATACTTGTGTCAAGTGCAGATTATGCTTGGATATGATGTGAAGTGATGTCAAATGGCTACAAAAGTTTCTAAATGCTTGCTCTCAGTTTATGGACTTACCTCTCTGTTGACCACTAACACACAATATACAAATACCCAGGGTCCATGAGACACATTCTTGAGTGGCACTGATCTAGAAGAGACTTTGTATCTTAGATAAAAAGTCTCAAAACTTACATCTGCCAATTTGACAACAAATCTAAGCACATCTAGTAATTCTGTTGTGTGACCCTGAGGGTCATGAATCAATCATTTCTACCCACCTGCATATACTCAGACACACACACACACACACACACAATATTCACCTTCACTAGAGCTGTGAGTCAAAAGACAGAAGAATAGCACAGACTCACATCCACCAGACATAATACCCCAGACCATAGGACATAGATCAAACTGTCAGAGTAGCACAAAGGATGCTGGGAATGCCATCATGCTTCTAAGACTAGGTAAGAACATTGCTCAGGATGGTACTCACTGTGTTTCTCTGTAGCTTAAAAATGATCATAATCTCTGTTTATATATGCCTAGGACACCTAAGCTGCAGAGGATGGAAAGGTGGCCCCAAGAGCTGTACCATCTCAGTTGCTTTCTTATCATACTATATTTGAGGCAGAGGTATGCTGGGAGCCAGGATCACTGAGGACCAGAGGTCGAATATAGGAAACAATTCACCCTTTCCCCATGAGGGTCTGATATATGTATTTCATTTGATATGTTAACATTCCAGTACCACCAGCAACCTTATTCTAGAACCTGCCTCTTCTCTTTCTGGGAAAGCAAAGATTCTGGGTAGTAACATAACAATTTTAAGGAAAAAATAAAATGCAGAGTCAGTTATGAAACTCTAAAAACTCAAAGTTTAAGATGGGGAAGTAATATAATATTGCTATCTCTGATAGCGTAGTGCCTAAGGCACTTGACTGCTAACCAGAAGGCTGGTGGTTCACACCCACCAGCCACTCCTTGAAAGGAAGGTTGGGCGATCTACTTCCATAGTGATACCGCCTCAGAAGGCTGGTGGTTCAAACCCACCAGCCACTCCTCAGAAGGAAGGTCGGGCAATCTACTTCCGTAGTGATACTGCCTTGGAAACCCAAGGAGGGGTTGCTATGAGTCGGGTCCAACTAGATGGCACATAACAACAACAACAACACAACACCTCAGAAACCCAAGTAGGGGTTGCTGTGAGTCGACCCCGACTCGACGGCACATAACAACAACATGGGCTTATACGCCTCTCAAAGACATCTAATATATGTATTACCTGAATTTGTTTGGAATTGTGTCCAAAAAGCTGCAATATTTCTTTCAACAGCTTTCAAACTTTTCTACATATTAAAGTCATGAAACCCATTCATGCCATCTGGATGCTGTAATGTGGACTTGGTTTGTGTGTGTTTTAGGACAAGGGCTCAACCTTGGAACCTCAGCAGCACTTCAATGCACGTGACATGGGTGCCTCAGGCCTTAACACCAGTCATTCACCATCAGCGTCCTCAAGAAGTTCACACAAATCCTCACACACAGCCATGTCTGAACCCACCTGTGAGTATGATTCCATAGACAGAGTAGGGGAGGGCATCCCATTGGACCGTGGTCTCTCTAAGGATCTCAGAATGGTCCATGCTTATGAAGGAGACACTGGTCACCCAGTGGACAGCTCCTTGCTTGCTTTCCCATTGACCTCCTGCCTTCAAATCATACTTGGGTTTCTCCACTGAAGCATGAAGCAAAGAGAGAAAGCAGATGAAATGCTTATCAGCTGTAAATCATTTGTCTACTTTTTAGTTGCTCTGATAAGATGTTTACACAGGGAGGTGGTTGAACCATCTGGTAGAGATAAAAGTTGGGAATTGTTTGTGGTCTTCTCCTACCTGCTTGTAGGATCAGTTGGGAGCTGGCAGAATCTGTCTGGCTAAACCACTTCCTGTATCAGCGACTACATCCTTGCTCTTGTTTCATGCATACCTTAGTTATAGTTCCCCTCTCCTAATAAGAAAGCTGTGGAGTATGTGTGAGTCAGAAAGGTAATTCATTGCTTTCTTACAGCCACTCCAACCAAGCTAATGGCAGAGGCCAGCACCACCACGTTGCCAAGATCGACCACTTTGCCCCAAGAGATACCTGTGCCAGGGCTCAGCCAGGCAACCACAATGCCGGTATGTGTGTGAACCCAGACTTCTCAATTGGGCATGCTACAGTGTGACAAGGGCCCACAAAGCCACAGGGCAACATACCATATCATCCTGGAGAATCAGTTTACTTAAAAGGGTGGCAGGTTAGGGATGGGAAATTAAGTAATTGGTGAGTAATTTTGTTTAAACATTCTTATACCATGTTAAAACTAACATGGAGATATATTCGTGGAATACAAAATTCAAATGACTTTTAAAGGTAAAACCTAAAACTTGGGCAACACCCCTAGAGCCTCTGGGAGTACATGATTAATATCCTCCCAATTAGAGCTACTCCAGGGAAAATGTTTGAGAAGCTTGCCAGAAGCACAAACGTTCTTTCTATACATGAGTCGGAATTGACTCAACAGCACATAGTTTGGTTTTTGGTTTTATATATCAGGTTGTGTCCCTGAAAGGAACCCTGGTGTTGCTATGGTTAAGTGCTTGGCTGCTAACCAAAAGGTGGGTGGTTCAAACCCATCAGTGATGCCATGGGAGAAAAGAACGGACCATAAAGATGACAGCCTAGGAAACCCTATAGACCACTTCTACTCTGTCAGATGTGGTCGCTGTGAGTCAGAATTGACTTAGTGGTGCACACTAGTGCCTATGATATATGCCAGGCCTCTCCAAAATGCCAGGGATGGCCTCTTCAGAAGCATGCTGGCCTGTGCTGAGTTATAGATACACAGTATTCCAGTTAATCTGTTGCTGTTGCCACACGAAATGTAGTAGAGTAAAACAATCATTATTTTTCATGTTCATTGAGTCTATGAATCAAGAACTCCGAAAGGGCACAGTGAGGGCAGCTCTTCTCTGCTCCATGATGCCTAAGAACTCACTGGCAGAGGTGGCTCCAGTGACTGGGGCTGGTGCAGCTGAGGCAGGAAAAGCCACATCCCAGATGGTGGCTGGGAGAGCTGGAGGCCGGTCTCTGTGGACTCTGTCATGGGAACATGGGAGCACGTACACTGGCCTCTACTTGGCTTCTTGAAGCGTGGAGTCTGGGTTCTAAGAGGACGCACCTGGAGGGCAAGTTTTCCAAGAGAGCCAGGAGAAGCTGTCTGGCCTTCTGTGACCTAGTCTTGGAAGTCACATAGTGTCAAATCTGCCATACTCTATGGGTCACAAGTTCAGCCACAGTCAAGGGGAGGAGGCATACACCTCCACCTCTAGGTGAGAAGTTTTGAAAAAATCTAGGGGCCACGTTCAGAGTTCATACCAATACACATCCTTTCACTTGCATTTTGGAGATGGGAATGAATTTGTCACTTTCCTGTACACCCTACTTGAAAACCTTGGGTTACAAGTTTGATTTTAAAATAGAACATGACAAGGACCACTTTCTCTCTCTCTATCCTCTTAGATGTGCTTGTGAGCTGTGACTTATTCTTCTAGCTACTTTGTCATCTAGTATAAATCTTTCTACCACTGATGACAACACAGAACTCTCCCATTTCCTCTGAGCTGTACTGGGAAACACAATTAGAAAGAAATCCAGTTTCCAGTTTGGCCCTGTGCCAGCAATTTCTTACTCAGACCAAAGGTCTCCTATTGCCATTTTTTCCCAATGTTGTCTTAAGTGACAGTTTTCATTGTGGCCAATTTTTGTAATTGGTGACAGTTTTGGAATAATTTCAGAATAGTCCTCTTGCTTTTCTTTTAAAAATTTAAGGATTTCATTTCTTGTTTCTGCATATTGTCCCTCCTCTACCACCACCACCTAAGGGATCAGGGGTCAGGTAACAAGGACTGTGATTCAGGTAACTTCCCAGAAGCCCCTCTAAGAGATTCCAGGCAGGATCTGGTGACGTTGCATCAGTATTACCTGGATGAGTTCATGCATATGTGCGTGTGGGGCCTGTCTGTCTGTCTTCATTAATGTTGAGTAGAAAGGGTTAGGACTACACATAAAGGCAACACTGGTCATTAGTACAACCCCACTCATGTACTCATGTTGCTTAATGAAGTGTTAAGGGTCAGGTGATCTTTGACAATGGGCCAAAATCCATTAAATGGGGAAGAAAATGTTTGTTTAATAAATGGTGCTGGCAAAACTGGAGATCCATTGGCAGAAAAATGAAACAAGATTTGTACCTCACACCATACACAAAAACTACCTCCAGATGGATCAAAGACTTAAATGTGAAACCTAAAACTATACAGTTCCTCAAGGAAAAT